AGCATGTTGGCTGTTAGAAGTCCTCTACACTACATCCTACATGAGGTAGCAAAGCCCGAGGTTTCCAGAGTCCTCTAAAGTAACAACTGCAGCAGTTGCAGTTGAAATTCAGTGTGGAAAAGAATGGGCCAGCTTGCAGGCAGCAGAGAACAATACAGACAGGGGTTTCGACCACACCATATTTCTTCCTTCCAATTACTGCTTAGAAAAAGAGTACACTTAGTGCACACAATGCACAATGCACACAAATGCTTCCTGCAGCAGTAAGGTCTAGAATATAATATTTTATTTTTATGATGTTTTAAAATACTAGACATATTTGACATGCCTATAAATACAATGTACGTTACTTCCTATCAATATGAAGGAGCAACCTTGCAGCAGCAGGCTGATAACACGACCAATCAAATAGCAGAGAGCTTTTCTCAAAATAGCAGCATCCTGGTCAAAACTACCAACAAACATGCTCAGAAAGAACAAGCCTGTGGTAACTGTTAGGAGTATCTCATTACACTGGTTATGTTATATGTCATCTCCAGGCTTATTCAGAGCTGTCATCATTCCTCTGTACTTGTACTCACGCCACTTTTCCCCCCATTCCCGTTTGAGATCAGGTGGCTTTGAACTGCTTTCAGGATTAAATGATAGGAATGGCTCATGTACATGAAGGTAAATGAGTATGTACCTTACACAGAAGGGACCAAATTTTGCTATAAAATTTCTGGAAAGCAAACTGAAAGACATGAAATAGTACCTTATCCAGCAACTTCTGAGCTTTCTCTCCTGGCAGCAACCGTAGCCCAGCTGTGGCTTTCAGGACCAGAGGAGTAAATTTCCACAGCTCCATAGGAACTTCCTTCTTTGCCACCTCCAGGAGCTCTTTTATTCCCTGGCCACTCTGTGAGCAGAGAAAGAACAAAAAAAAGCATCTTAGAAACTCTTTGGATTTGCCTTTCTTGGAAGGGCAAAAAGGTCATCAGAGGTATGATTCACTGTCAATGTGGAACAGAGACAAGTGAATATCACCAGGGGTCAGGAGAAGGTGGAGGACTCACTATCTCCTACAGCATGAGACCTGGTGGATATAATGGGGATTCTCCAGCAACAGGTCAAAAACAAACAGGAAGAGTCACTTTTTCAAACGGTCACATAGAACTCTCTGTCACTGAATGTTTTGGCTACAAAAGGTTCAAAAGGCAGGATGACAAATCCCTGGGGAAAAAAAGGTCTCTGGAACCAGTAAAACACTGTGAGATGGGTGTAAGTACGGCTCAGGAAGTCCCTAAATTCCTGTGAGCCAGAAGGTAAAGGAGACAGGAGAGAAGTCACTTAGTACTTGGCCTGTTAGACTGTTTTCCTGAGAATCCAATTCAGTCGCTTTTGGAGAAGGCTCTGCTCCAATCCAACACAGCTCTTGTGTCATTTTCTTAAGCGCATTGTAATTCTTAAGGCAGCAACAGGAAAAACATCTACTGACCACCACTGACCAGGACTAGATGCGTTCTGTTCCTTGCTCCTCTGCATGCTGACCAACTTTTACTGTGGGCTTGGATCACTTGGAGACACTCCCCTGAACTGAGACAGTTCAGCATACTGCACCACAGCAAGATGTGATTTGTGGGGCACATCATGAACAGGAGGTTTTGAGGCACCTACTTTTATAGTAACAGAAACAAAATTACCTTTTCAACATCATCGGCGTATGCAGATAGACCTGGCTTCAGTGCTTTAAACGTCTCATGGGTTAATTTGGGTGTCTCTGTTCAAAAGCAGTAGTCCAAAATAAGTAATCGTACAAATAATTTTGCATACACAAAAATAAAACTATTTTACAAATTACGTCATTATGTGCTAATGGAAGTCAACTGAAGCCTCCGTCTAATGAACTACCAACAGCCACTCGACCTTTAAATACAGCCCTTGCTATGAAATTAGCTCCCGAGAAAACCAGTTTTAAAAGTCATGGCTGTTTTTCAGGTGCTGGTGCCCACTATGCACATATTTTTCATGCACAGCAGATAATCACCAGATGGACGCGAGTTCTCTTTGAGCCCTTACATCTGCCATGTGCAGTTTTCCAGACTGCATCGGTAACAAAGACCCCACGTTTCAGTGTGCTCTGTTCTGGCTGAACTTGACTCCAGCAAAACTCAGTGGAAGCTCTGCTACCATTTTCAATGGCAGCAAAGGGAGCCAGACCATAGTATTTTGGACACCTGCAGTATAGACAATTATACGAACCTGCAGGAAAGATAACATGAGCTTGACAACATCTTCCTCCCGTACCCAACTACAATCCATAAAGTTTCCTGCAATATATTCTGAAATTGTGTTTAAAGAGAAGCAGGCAAGGAAGAAGCAAACATTTGGAAATACACTGAAAGAAGGAAATCCATGGATGTTGTTTAATGCCTTTGGTGGCTAAGCGTTACACTAGCCCCTTTTCCAAACCTAAGGTGCTCCCCACAGGCCAATCACACCATACGCCACACTGCTAATCCTTAAGAGCATCCCCAGATCACCTACTAACAGCATCCACATGGGTTCTTTCATCTTTAAGAGTTTCACAACTAGGAGCTGACAACACCTAAAGAAATGAAGCTTATGACTCCAGAGGAAAACTGGAGCGGTTTTGTACATTTCCATCTCGCTTCTCAGCATTACTTCCTGTCCAGATGCAATACACAGCAATTTTAATCAAACAGTGAAGTTTCACGATTTAAACCCAACACTGAAGCCAAGGATGCACAAAACCAGACAATGCAGAGAGAAGCAGCTCACTGCCAGGCACTGGAGACAGCCAACAACCTCATGGTGAAAATCAGGAGGAATAAGGCAGTTTGAATTTATAATCCTCTCTTCCACCAAGCAGTGTGATGAAAAACTGCTCTTCTTCAAGACACCATTCTAGAAGGTGCAGCTGCTATTTAGTTCACATTCTGACACTACAGCATTTTCTCCTTGTTGAATGTTTTCATAATTCCATTCAAACCCACAGGCTTGAGTAATAATATACTTCCTGATGGCTCTCTAGAAAGAGGTAAAGCATGTTTGTTCAAGTAATCCCTAGAAAAGAATCACCAATAATCTGCTCTATATGTTATGGAAGAATTAATCTATCGTGTAATGAGCAGGCCATACCTTTGGGCTGCTGTGTAAATTTAAAAATATGGATGCGAGTTCCTGTGCTTCCTGCGTCAAACATAATTCCATAAAAGACCGAGAGATCTGTGGTCCGTGCCTGATGGTTCAGTTTGTCTCCCCTGCTTTCAGCAACTCCTTCTGTTGCTCCCACGATTGGTTTGGAATCCAAGTGCCATTTTATGTATGCAACATAAATAGCTATACACGCCAAAATCCCAAAAGCAAAGAACCGCTTTGATATCTTCATGGCTTCCATTTATCAGATTTTTTGTTTCTTCCCTTCATCAAATGTTTTATGTCTTGTCCTTCACACAGAACAGGTGGTTCCCACATCACTCCTATATTCAACAGAAAAGAAAAGATATGCTTTATTTTCTAAACCTGCTGAAAGGATCTAAGAGTATGATGGTTATTTGATAAGGGACTTACAGGAGTAAAGTTGACTTGAGCATTAGTTAAATACTTAACTGTTAGTTGTTTTAGAGCTGTGATAAGAAAGTTGGGCATGATAGTCAAAGTAAGCAGTAAGTGACTGCAACAAACAGCCTGGTAAAAAAATTTACACACAGGGAGTAACAGACTACTGCTGGCAAGTAAAACGGTTTATACCTGCAGCATCTGGAGTAAGACTGAGATATCAGCTACTGTCTTCAGTGCTCAAATCTATCTCAGCTAACCCAGGAAAATTTGCAGTTAAATGCTTACATTTATTCCAGTAGGACAATGTAGAATCCTGCATTCAAAAATCTGGGATTCACCTGCAAATCACTTGTAAAGCTGGACCTAGCAGCAAAATTCCGCTCTCCCATGTTGCTTGTCCTAACCATCAAATGCCTCCATGGCTGCTGAATACCTGTGAGACCACACACTTATTCAGAAGGAACATATCCATCCTCCTTCAGCATGTCATTGAGATCTACAACTAATTTTAAGACATGAAGCTTCATAAATCTTCTGTTCCCCATTGCTACTGAGGACTAAGAAGGAACAGAGTAAGGGGAGTTCAGAGAAGCTAAATAGAGTAACTGAGGTGGGAAGGGACCTCAACAGGTCTCTCATCCAACCTCCTGCTCAAAGCACAGGCAGCTATGGGGACCCACCATGTTGGTCAGGGCTACATTCAACTGCATCTTGAAAACCTCCAAGGATGGAGATCCCACAACCCCTCTGGGCAACCCAAATCATGTGCAGTTATCTTTGTTAGTTCCTGGATGGTGAAGGAGATCCCAGAAGACTGGACATGTGCAATTTAAAATCAAGTGTTTAAAAGGCAAGACAGAAGATTTAGGGAATTGGAGTGACGTCCCCAGCGCCAATACCAGGAAAAAAAAACCGCATCAAAGCACAACACAAGAAATCTACAAGCACCCACATGACATCATCCAGATGATTAAAAAATAGTCAGCGGTGATTTATGGGGAGCAAATTACATTATACTTTTATTTTTTTGATAGCATAATGAAGAAGAGAAAGCAAACCAACTGATGAGGTTGACTTGAACAAGGCTTTGACACATACGTAATCTGTGGATGATACGAATTTAGGAGGTGTACAGAGGGTGCGAGGGGGAGGAATTTAAATTCAAGGGAAGAATTTAAATTCAAGGTGATTACAGTGTATTGCCAAAAATAGGCAAGACAAATTTTTATTAAAATGGAAAGAAAGCAACACCATGGGCGCAAATACACATGATGAATAGATCAGCGTAGGGGAAAAAGGAACTGTATGCTGTCATGAAACAGAATTCAGGGAGATGGCATTGCTAATAAAAAAAAAAAAAAAAGAAAAATCTTTCTGGCTTCCACCAGCAGGCGACTACGGCACATGTACGGGGTGATCACTCCGATCTTCCTGGTGCCGGACAAGGCCTCCGCTGCAGCTACACGACAGCTAAAGAACACGCCACGGGAGGAACGCAGCAGGAACCGGGCGATCCTCTGAGGGGACAGAAGCCTCCACGGCGGGAGAGGGCAGGCTGGAAGGACGATGGGGACGGTGGAGGAGCAGCAGCCCGCCAGCCCAAACCCCCTCTACCCTCATTTTCCTGCAGGGAACCCCGCGCTTAA